ATTTACTTTTCTATTAAACTTCAATTTTTATTTAATTTGGAAACAGATCGTTAAGGTATAGTTGTTTCTGGATTGAACATCCACTTTTCGTTTTATGCAACTTTCAATTTTATTTTTATTCTATTTCCATTTTTATTCAATTTACATTTCTATTAAACATCTTTTTTTATTTAATTTCCAAATAGATCGTTAAGGTATAATGGTGTCTTGAATGAACTTCCATTTTCAATTTTCTGCAACTTCCAGTTTTACTTTTATTTAACTTCGTTTTTTATTCAAGTTTTTTTTCTACTCAACTTCCTTTTTTATTTAATTTCCAAATAGATCGTTGAGGTATAGTGGTTTCTGGATTGAACTTTCATTTTTAATTTTATGCAAGTTTTATTTTTATTTTTAGTCAACTTCCATTTTTATTCAATTTTCTTTTCTATTAAAATTCCTTTTTTATTTAATTTCCAAATAGATCGTTAAGGTAAAGTGGTTTCTGGATTGAACTTCCATTTTCTTTTCTATTCAACTTCCATTTTTATTTAATTTCCAAATAGTTCGTTAAGGTATAATGGTTTCTTGAATGAACTTCCTTTTTTAATTTTTTGGAACTTCCATTTTTATTTTTTTTCGAGTTCCTTTTTTATTTAATTTCCAAATAGATCGTTAAGGTAAAGTGGTTTCTGGATTGAACTTCCATTCTCAATTACTGCTGTAGAAATAGACATACCGGTTAGACAGATGGAGCAACAGAATACATCAGGGATGGAGACTCTAATGCGCCAGATGCAAGAGAGCATGAGACAGATGCATGACGATGCCACCCGTCAAACAGAATTCTCCAAGCAGCAGGCCGCAGTCATGGCCCAGCAGTCTGAGCTGATTACCAGATTGCAACAACAGAATACAGCATCTGCTTCACACCAAATTCCTCCTCCGGCCGGAGCCCCATTACCTGAGAAGGCTCCTGCTATTCAGGACGCTCCTCCAAACACCCAGAATACTGTACCAACTATTCAAAATCTGCAAGAGGACACAAGTCTTCCAACGGGGCCAGCTCCGCCCCCGATTCCACCACAACTGTCCAAGGTCCATACACCCAATCACCCGGACTCTCCATCCGAGGTCGAGGTTGATCAAACAGCTCTGAAATTGAGCAAACTAGAGAAGCTTTTCAAAAAATCCCAAGGGGCTAAGGCTATGCCGGATATCGGAGATGGATATACCGAGGAGGCCGTAACGCTCCCTGATAGGTTCAAAATGCCACAAATCGACCGTTTTGACGGGACCGGCGACCCCATGGTCCATATCCGACTGTTTGCGGACGTCTTGCGGCCAATGGGCCTAACACGACCACAGAAACTCTCATTATTCGGCCGAACCCTGTCGGGTGTGGCCTCCCATTGGTACGCAAGATTACAAGATGAAGTGAAGAAGAATTGGGATGAGATGGCTGAGGCCTTCGTCACACAATATTCCTATAACACTCAGATCGAGATCACAACCCGTGATCTTGAAACAACAAGGCAGGAGCCTAAGGAATCTTTCTCGGACTTTGTGATCCGATGGAGGGCAAAGGCGTCAACGATGACTCTAAGGCCCACTGACAGAGATCAAATTCGGATGATTGTGCGCAATCTCCACCCGAAGCTAATGTAAAGGATGATTGTGGTCCCCTTCCCTACTTTCGCAGATTTACATGACATGGGGGTGCAAATAGAAGATGCCATGAAACAAGGTCTGTTCGACCAAGACAGGGAACAACCGAGGAGAACCTTCAATCGCAACAACAATGCGGGCCCGAGTGGCGCTGCAAATACGAGAGCCTCGGAAGTTAGTATGGTCACCACCACTCCCCCTCCCCCTCCAAGACCCATGACTGCCACACCATTCTCCGGCGCGTCCGGAAGCAACACACAAAACAGCAGATTCCAACCCTGAGGCCAAAGAACCTTTACCCCACTATATATGCCTCTGACCAAGGTTCTGGGAATATTGATCAGGAAAAATCATTTAAAACCCCTGGAACCAAAGCCATTACCAAATCCACTCCACCCCTCTTACGACCCATCAAGGTACTGCGCGTATCACCAACAACACGGTCACGACACCGACCGTTGTTACAGACTACGTCATGAGATTCAAGATCTTATTGACAAACAGGTGATTGCGCCTCCTGATAAACCCAATGTCACAACCAACCCTCTCCCACCACATAACCAAGCTCCTCCTCCCAAAAGAATTAACTTTATCCAGACTGGGGTCGCATCTTACGATCCTAGCATCTATATTACTCCCACCCACCTACCCAAGCCGGAGGTGTTCCTCCCCGACTGCACTGATTTCTTGTGCATGGTGGACATCTCCAAAACCCAACCAGAACCGATGGTGGTGACCGTCGAAGACAGGGCAGGGCAGATTTTGGGAGAAGATGAAATTGTTGAATCTGGGACTGGACAGAACTTTACTGGGGGAGCCTACGATCCAAGCAAGTACATCCTATCAACGAGCCGAATTGGGCTAAGTGTAGAATTTCCCGAGACAGGAGAACTGTGCATGATCCGAGGGGATGGATCTGGGCTATGGGCAGATGATTTGACAGCCGTAGAGGAGGATTTTGCCAACCAACAATTTTTCGAGGACCAAGAACTGGAGGATGCGTCGATTAACTGGTATGATTATGAGGAATCAGAGGAGGCCACGGGATGGCTCGAAGATCAACCGGATGCAGTGGGGGAAGCCCAACCAGAACAGAGCCCGGCAGGGGCAGAAGTATCAGTTGTGGCCGGAATGGCCGAAAGTCAAGTTGTATCGCCGGAGAGCGCCGGTGTTAAGAATTCCGCTCAAGACATGGGCATTACAGATACGGGAATTATTGAACAAACAGCTGTACTAATGCAGTTGGAACAAGAGAAGTTTGAGGCTGCTGAGAGAGCCAGAAAGGCAAAAGGCCCTGAGGGGACTGAAAGTGCTGTGTGCACGAAGACAAACAATGCTGCGAGCATATGGACAGAGAGCACTGAGAGTGCGGGTAGACTGGAGCCGGACAGATGTCTGTTGGCTGCCAGCGGAATGTGGTGGGAAGATGACGATTTGTGTCTTGCCCACACCGATGAAGACTGGGGAAATGGCCAACCAGATGATACTTGGTATCTTGATGAAGTGGACCACATGACAAGAAGTGGGCGGTACTTCAAGACCCCATATCTGGACCAACCCCAAGGTTGATCATACAGCTCTGAAATTGAGCAAACTGGAGAAGCTTTTCAAAAAATCCCAAGGGGCTAAGGCTATGCCGGATATCGGAGATGGATATACCGAGGAGGCCGTGACACTCCCCGATAGGTTCAAAATGCCACAAATAGACCGTTTTGACGGGACTGGTGACCCCATGGTCCATATCCGACTGTTTGCGGATGTCTTGCGGCCAATGGGCCTAACACGACAACAGAAGCTCTCATTATTCGGCCGAACCCTGTCGGGTGTGGCCTCCCATTGGTACGCAAGATTATCGGATGAGGGGCGACTCTGTATCTGGCAAAGCAGTCCATGTTTGGCACTACTTTTTCAAAACCTGAGGGCACAAGTCATAACAAACCTCTCTATATCTCTGTGGAATGTAGAGATAAGTGGATACCGGTGGTACTTGTTGATACCGGGTCTGCGATTAATGTCTGCCCGACCAGAACGGCATACGCAATCGGGTTAAAACCCGCGGACTTTATCCCAACTACCCAAGTGATCAGGGCATACGACAATACCAGTAGAGAAGTGATGGGGACTGTTAAAATTCAAACTAAGGTTGGTCCAGGACAACACAGTGTCGAATTTCATATCTTGGACGTTCCCGCAACCTTTAACTTACTTTTGGGGCGACCGTGGTTGCACCAGGTCAAAGCAGTCTCTTCCACTCTACATCAGATGCTAAAGTACCCTCACGGGAAAGGGGTAGCGACCGTTTTTGGGAACTCATCAATCCATCCGCCGCCGGAAGTGTCCACACCTGTCTTGGAGATCGAGCACGGCACGGAGGATGTATTTTTGTCAAGGTTCACTTTGGCCGAGGCTCAAGTAGTGCAGAATGTCATGGCTGTGAATGAGGGCATGTATGTTAGTGCTCAATCCATATACCTCATGAACAAGCTAAAACATACCCCTGGGATGGGATTAGGGAGAAGTGGCCGGAAGGGCGTCTCAGTGTTGGCCGAAGTGCCACATAACCCCCACGCCTTTGGACTGGGTTATCTGCCCACCAAGGAAGACTGGGTAAGGAAAGGAAAAGAAATGGCCGGAAGGGCCAGGGCAAAGAAGGCCGGGAAGCCATTTGAGTTAATGCACAGGCCCATCTGGGATACCCTAAACGGACGTTTCGTTCGGGAGGGGGAAGATTTTCCATTCTGCGGCTTCCCGGAGCCATGGCTAAACGCGGAGGGAGCACGCGTGCCTGGTTTTGAAATCTTCTTCGACATACAATTATCTGGGGATGACGTTGCCGAAGCGCAGACAGACCCACCAACTGAGGTTGAGCAATGTGAAGCAGTGGATTCTGAGAGTGCAGAGCTGGAAATGGGGGTAGCACTGGCGAGTCTACTATCAGATCCTCCGATCGGCCAAGAGTGCTTGGGGGATAACTCTTCGGTTTCTGTGATTGGAGATGAAATAGCTGCGGGCTTTAAAAAATAAAGAAATTTAGATTGGACTAGCATATTTTTGCCAAAAAATTTTAAAAAATCAAAAAAAGCAACTTGCTCAACTATATTACAAATAACTTATTTATTTGCTTATAATCTTACTATAAGATGCAACCAAACGAGCCCTTAGTTTAAATTATAGTTTGACCCCTTTCAAAATTTATTTTACCCAATTTTATCATTTTTTTCTCTTTCTTTCTTTCATTTCAATTTAGCTCAAGTGTTATACTTGAATTCAGATTTTACTATTGTGAATGGAGTGAATATGACAACTTCTTGGCACATAGGGGAACATTCGGTTGAGGAAAAACATGACAAATTCTAGCAAATGCTTGCAACAATTACACTTATGTCTGAACGATTTTTCTCAGCACATAACACAACTTTAATAAATTGGAGGGAATCCCTCTCAATCTGAATTTTTGATATACCCAAATCTGCAGCAAACACGACAGCTTTCCAAAACCCCAAAGACTCAGTGCTTTTTGGAAAGTTAGTAAAAAGTCAACTTTTAGTTTTTTATCAATTTTGAGTCACATTACCTCTCATATAACTTACCTACAAAAAGACAAAATAAGTTAAAAAAAACCAAAAAATTAATTTTTTACCAATTTTCCAAAACACATTGACATCCAAGAAGTTCAAAACTCTCTCAGAGCATGATGCAATGACTTCCCCTTCACAATCTTTTGTTGTAATCACAATCTCAACTATATCATTATTGAAGGTAGTGTTATACTCACAGTGGTGTCTATGTGTAAATTAAATGTATAAATTAAGTAAATAATAAAACAAAATAATTTACAAAATAATTATATAAATTATTTTTCAGAATTAAATGCTTACAAAAATTAATGTCGAGACTTGTGTTGGACACAATCTCCTTAAAGTAGATTTCGCCCTCGCTCCGGTGCTTCGAGTCTTAATCGGCGTCTACTTCCCAGAATGCAACGATTAACACTTGAATTTTGCAGCACTACAAAATCATGCATTGCGAACTAAAATATGTTGTAACTCTTTCTCTTTCTTTCCC